TGTTGGTCAAATCAAGGCGAGGGATTTGCCCTGAATAACCACCAAGGGAAAATAAAAAGGAGTAAATTCAATATTTATGCTTCCTCAGTTTTCAGATAAAGAAAGTAAAAACTCATACACTGCTCTGAATCAGCTTGACTGGAAAGGTCACAAAATAAAGTAACCAAAAAAATACAATTTTGACAGTTTTGACCAGCCTAACGTGAAAAAGCCCACTGAATTTAGGCAGGCAACGGCACGAATGAAAGAATATTGTGACTTTTAGTTAGCGACGGACTTACAATTTCTTGAGGGTGGGCAGTACCCCACCTCAAACTTTGAGAGATTTTTTCTTTTTTTTTTTTAGCTTAAAAAGTTTGTAAATTTTTTAAGTTAATCTCCATGTGTTCCCCTAAAATATTTGAAATTATCTTTCTTATCTACTTTACTCCCATAAAATTTTAAAATTTTCTTACATGCATTGCTTCCCTAAGCAAGTTAAAATTTACAAGTCCTATGTTTCACAAGAACGTGGGATCTAGTCAAGATATATATATATATATATATACATTGATGTAAATCCGAATTTTTTTTAAACCGTTTCCAAACCCTTTACTGCTATATTATAATACTTTATAGACATTCTTTGATCGTAAATTATTAGTACTACATTTCACATGGCAATAATAATTGACCCTTCTAACTTTGAAGTCATGACTCTGCCATTATTTATAGTCACATATATATCTATGCAAGTTCAAAATGTTACGAGCTATATATATATTACATGACTAGATGATTGTATAGCAAACAGGGACATTGTCTAGGCTGTGACATTGACATTTAGATCATTAAGCTGCATCATCTTACTCTGTTTCTTCAAGAGATACAGACTCGATTACCTGTTGACTCTTCGCAAGTACTACTATAGCTATTGCTCTGCACCAGCCGAGGGGAATCCGCAGGATAAAACAGAGGTTTTGGTGGCAACCGCAAGGCTGTGAGATCACCCTGTAGCATTTCACCACTTCTCTCATTGAAGGCCGATCATCTGGCGTCATCTGTATACACCACAATGCAATCAAAATTAATTTTCTTGCAGTTCTGTTTTCATCTTCAGTTGCATCTTCAATTTCCAGGTTCTCTCCTTGGTCAAATTTGTCATATATCGATGAAGGGAAGTACATTTGGCTTGAATGCTCAGCATGTGCATTAAGGTTTCTCCTCCTTCCTACCAACTCCATAAGTAGCATTCCGAAGCTATATACATCAGCCTTGGATGAGACTTTTCCAACCCTTTTGTAGAACAATTCTGGAGCCATGTATCCTAATGTTCCTCTCACAGCAGTTAGACTTGCAGTATTATTTTGAACAGGATGTAATTTAGCTAGTCCAAAGTCAGAAACCTTTGGCGTGAAATTCTCATCAAGTAAGATGTTGTGTGGCTTTATGTCAAAATGCAAAATTTGCATGCTGCAGCCTTGATGCAAGTATTCAATCCCTCGAGCTACACCCATGGCGATCTCGGTTGCCTTCTTCCAACTTAATGAATTTCCATCCAGACGTTCGGAGAAAATGAACTTTTCTAGGGATCCATTAGGCATGTAATCGTAGACAAGTGCATGCTTTGAGGCAGTTACACAAAACCCCACTAATCGCACCACATTAACGTGGTGAATTCTTCCAAGAGCTGCAACCTCATTGATGAATTCTTGGCCATTAGCTTTGGACTTGCTCAACATCTTGATTGCTACTAGTTCACCACTACGCAATGTTCCTTTGTATACACAACCATAACCACCTTCTCCTAACTTTTCTTTGAAGGTGTTGGTCATCTTCTTGATTTGTTTATAGGAGTACCTGATAGGGATCAAGTTGTTGCGACTTTGGAGATACTCTTCTATAGCATCATATACCGATAAATGCCTTCGTTGGCACTTGTAGATGAGAAATGCAAGCAAGAGTATAATGCCAATAAATGCTCTTGGTAGAATAATTAATGAAAGCTGTAATGGAGTCAAAGACGAAGCAAATATAACTTAATTACGCGGTTTACAGTATTTAATTCATTCATCAAGGAAAAGTTTGAAAGCTTACATAGCAATTCGCCTGCCATCATGCCCATAATTTTTACACATGCTACAACCAAAAGGGAATTGTGATTACCAAGACAATTAGATTAGATAATAGTAGTAAAAGATTTCTGTTACAACTTTATCTATTACATTATCTCATTATGCTACCTATCCAATTTACACATGTCGCATGCAATAATGGATAAGAGTCCAACGTTTAAAATGTCTCTCATGGTCAATTTATTTTGAGAAACTTGTCAATATATAAAGTTAAATATAGTAATGTGTAACAGAAAACCTCAAACTCAAAAATATCTTTAAAATATTAAAAAATATATATGTTTTTACAATTGGAATATTAGTTTGTTAATGAAATATGAAAAAGGACAATTGTGTCTCTAATGTACAAATGAGACTTGTGTTCCTAGGAAATGAAACTCAATTTAGACTGAATCCAGCGCGGGATCTTAGTTTGGATCAAGCCTGATGGAAGCGTGGATTGTGTCCAGAGAGCACTTCAATCTCCATAATAGGATCCAGCCATGGATCCATCTTGGCCTGATCATAGAATCGGATCTGTCCTCGATTCTGTTCTTGTGGGCTTCAAATCTTCTGTCCTCAAAGTAGTCTCTATCCCCTCTGTCCCTTATTTGTACAACTGCCACGTGTTTCCAACCTTTTGTTAACCCAAATTCAAATAAACCGATAATAATTGGTTTACAAGTTTGTGGAGACAAAAGATGATTTGGGGTAAAAAATAAAGAAGAGTTTTAGTTGTTTTCTATGTTTATGATCAACAAGACTCTTTTTTGTTAAAAAGAAAATAAAAAAAAGTTTTGAGTTATCAGTATGTTTGAATTTGGGTTAACAAAACTTGTATATCGATTATTATCGATTTATTTGAATTTGGATTAACAAAAGGCTAGAGACACGTGGTAGTTATACAAATAAGGGATAGAGGAGACAGAGACTACTTTGGAGACAGATGATTTGAAGCCGTTCTTGTGAGGACAAGTATCCGCAAACGGATTCTTCTTGGCCTTGAATCCGGTTTTGCAGAGACATGGCTCTGCAGGCAAATCCTTTTGTAACGGTCAAATTATTCTAAAGCTGTGTTGGCACCTTTTCATGTTTAGAAGTATTTTTTCTAAACACCTTTTGGTGTCCAAAACATGCGATAATGTGTCTGATCATTATACAGCAATTGGAAAACACTTTTCGATATAAAACACACAAATCTCGTTAAATTAAAACTAACTTTTGCATTTGATCTTTTCTTAGTGAGATTAGTTAGACTTTGCTGTTGATTCTTCTCTTTCTTGTTGAACCTAGGAGTAATCGCCACAACCCAAAAGTATAGTATTTCATCACTCCTCAAGAGTTCATCAAACTTTCCCTTCTATTTGTGTGAAATTTAGTTTAGAAATTTATGCACTTTGTGTGCTTTTGTACTACATTCATCGATATAACAAAAATGTATACTTTATATACACTAACACTCTGCAAAAATGCCATAAAAATACAAAAAAAAAAAAAGATTTAAAAAAACTGATGCTTAAGCTCTATGGTACAACACATCTCTTCTCTCTCCATTACCCTTCATTAACTCCACTATCCATATCCTCGTACCATTATAATTAGCCCATCTCTTCCTTCCCCCTCCCACTCCTGCCACCTCTTTCCTCCTCCCTTACCTCTCTGGTCTCGACCTTTCCCCCTCTATTTTCCCCATTGCAACGCTGCCCCCTGGGTTGCAGGGTGAGGGGGAAAAGAGAGGAGGGATCAGAGGAAAGAGGTAGCAGCGGAGGGAGGGCAAAGATAAGGCAGCAAGGAGATATTGGGGGTGAGGGAGAAAGGCGGTGAAGGGGCCGTGGAAGGTGGTGGTGGTGGTGGCTAGCGGGAAAAGGGAGGTGTTGTCCTAAAAATAAAATAAGAACCCTAAAAATATATTTAAATTATAGTAATTATCTATAAGTAGTAATTTTTACTCTAGAAGTTGCATTGACAATAATTGTATTTGAACGATATTGGTGCTTATTGGATAAGTATGAGTGGATTTCTAAGAAGTAATATTTAATTGTTTACACCAAAACAGGGTATAGCGGTTCTATAAACTATAAAGAGATGCTCAAAGTCCATGGGCCCAGATACCCACTGTGAAGAAAAAAAAAAAAAAGAGATGCTCAAAGTCAACTAATTGCTTATTTTAATTGCAGTGACAAATTATTCTTTTCTTTTCTGGTTAAAGGAAGACTCCAAAATTTATAGGAAAAAGGGTAACAAGCTTGAAAATTTGAGCAAGGATACCACGTGAATTGACTAATGTCCATATCAGTTGATTTTGGAGACATGAATTATCCTTTATTTTCTAATTCTCTAAATAGTAGCAAAGCAAGGGGAGTGTTTGGATAGAGATTATTCAAAATAATATTGTAATAATTTTTGTTATGTGATATACGTAAACTAAAAAGATAGTTATAAATGTAAAAACGCGATTGAAAAAGTATAGATTTGCCCATTTATTCTCATAATTCTAACTTCCACGAAAGTATCTGAGCTTCATCACTGCACCATCAGATCCCTATATGGGCATTGGGTGCAATTGTTCCTTGTACAAAAGACAAAACTAATTAGCATAAATCACCAATCATCTCTTTGTGGTTTTGAACATTATTTCATGATCCTCTAACATTTGAAAATATACTCATAACACACCTTATAATTCTATATAAATTTTAAAAAAAATGGACAGAAAGCATCTCACAACGATTGCCTCAAATATTTGATGAAATTTGAAAACTGATTTAAAACCCCTATGATTTTTCATCTATATATTACACACACACACACACACATATATATATATATGTATATTTACATATATGATTTTACATATATGATTTTACATATATATACATAATTATGCTATCGCTTTATTTAGCACTTACATAAGGATAATCCTAACATTTTAACTAACAACATTAAGAATGTTGCTTTTTGCCAAACTTCACTTTACCTAAAACTACAGGACGTTTACATGGAGGTTGTGAAATGTTAGACGATCATGTGAGATAATATGAGAAACTGCAAGAGATCAGTAATAATTTACCCAACTAATTATCACAATACAAGCTGGAATATGAATCGGTTTGAGATTGAGGACTAATATGAACAATTAAATTAATGATGCACTTACTGGGAATTGATCTCTTACACATGTTGAAATATCTCCCATATTCAAGCTCAAAACCAGATGCCATGGCGTCATGGATGTCCTTGAAGGAAATATTCCTTGTGCTATCAATAAGAAAGTGCTGAAATCGTGAATACATGACTTTGTGTATGGTACATGTCTCTTCAATATCAGAAGCCACCAGATCACTAGCTCTTTTGCCAACTACAACATAACTATAATTGCTTTCCGCACCCTCAAGGTTTGATAATTCTTTGGCAGTTACACAAGGAGCAGTGTCGACGTATAGAGGAGCTACAACTGGTTTCTTGCAAGTCACCATCACAAATAGCATTTGATTATCGCCATAATGCAGCATAAAATCACTATAAGAAAAAAAAGGATAAACATTTGAGTAAAGTGGAATGGTGGAGCAGTTGTTCTTCTGCAGCTCAGGATCGATTACGCGAATCGAATCTAAGGGGCTTTCATGTTTGCCGTGGATGCTTTCCTCAGCTACATAATATTTATGGGAATTGGGTCCTAAGTACAAAACAGTACGATTGCGCTCGCAAGAGAGTCGAACATCAGGGTCACCACAGCCTCGAGGATCGCCCTCTACTCCAAGAGGGTATCTGACTTTAATGAGGATTTTCCCGCACCTGAATTGGTGCTGGCATCTCAGAGAAACAGTCTCAACAACCATGGTGAGGGAAAAACAAACTGCAGCGAAAAACTTCAGAGGAAGCATGGTGACCATCCGCAATTATCTTAAGAAGGAAAAAGAAGAGACTTTATGAGTTTCAAAGATGAATTAAAACTTTGTTAATCCAAGTCACTTAGTAGTTAAATTCAGTAACAGTGTCGGCAATTTACTTGGTCAACAATGGCAATACTCGGCTTTGAAAAGTCTATCTGTTCCAATAAAACATATAGATGGAATGGAAATGGATTCTTGCTCAATAGAAAAAAAGGTATGAAAATGAAGTTCCTGCATTACACTTTGACCTAGTTTTTTCTTTGATTAAATGAATAAAGATAAAGATTTTTGGTTATCTAAGATGCTTCTATTTGTGGAATCTATATTCACATCACCCAATTAGTAATAATTGTTTTAAATTTTCTCATTACTAGCTAATTAAACTGATATTTTTAAAAGAATAAAAGTTGATATTTGAAGACAAAAAAAAAAAATCAATCTGTCTCGCAAAACATCACTCCTCATCTTAATGATAAAATACTCATTATGATTTGAGTAGTATTTATCAGAACTTTCCATACTTTTGCCCAGATTTCAAATCAGATTATCATTTTCAAATTCTACTTTTGTGATATCGCATCCTTCAAGTCAATTAAACGTAGTCCAAAACAACTCAAAAGCCGGATTGCTTTTCTAAGGGTGAATTTTAAAACATCTATTATTCTCAAGAACACAAAAATTTCAGGCATGTAATTGGAGTCTTGCAAAATGGTGGTATTAAGATTCACATTAATTTTTTTTTTTTAACATTGTGTCAGAGAATATGTCTACTAATTAGCAATCCGAATTCTTGTACCAAACAATTAAATGTTGGTAGGTTATACTTCCACATTATGAACAGCAGTCCAGGATGGCTGTCTCCGGTGACAACCGGTCAGCTGGCCTCCCCGGTTAAAATATTATGCCACATTTTCTCGAGAGTGACATTATTGGGGCCTACTTTGGCAAATTCACTCTCCAAAAATATAGAATCGTGTTTTTTTTTTCAATGATATATAGACTAAATGTACAAAAACACAAATATGTGGATTCCACCTGTTTGTCACACAGTACACCTGTACATTCGGTCTACAACAGACCCTCTCTCTCTCCCTCTCTATGGTACCAGCTGAAATGAAGTCAATATATTCTATCCCTTATTTCTTTTTTCTTGGTGATGGCCAATCAAGTTGAAATTAGACAATAAATTGCGATTGATGTAATTTGGAAAGTCTATCAGATCAATTCTCAGTCCTTTATTTCCATGCAAGCAGAATTATCGAAACTTCATACTGGGCTCTGCTGAAGAAAATTTTACAGGTGGAAAATTTGGGTGGGTGGGGTTTTGTTTTTGTGGCGGGGGAGTAGCTCACTACAATGTACTAGTAGGTAATAGTCTAAGCATTCTTTATTTGTAAAGCCAAAAGGAAATGATCAGGATGTAAGCAAATTATTCGAGATTAATAGAGAAGGTAAAAAATGATTGAATTTACTTTTAGCTTATGATTCTAAGATGTTTGTCTTTAGCTTGGTCTACATAATTTTGAGTAATACTAGCCTCTATCTTGATCAAAGAAAAAGAAAATCTAAATCTAAATCTAAATCCCTTTAGTTCTTCATTTTCGAAGGTAAGCAGACATTGTTAATGTCCACCATTGGTGAGTAACTCTTCTTTTTCAATATCAAGGGGGTAACATCAACACAGAAACCATGCTTGAGAGTTGAGATTGTCTCGTTTTGATATAAAATATCTCACAAATAATCCTTGTGGTTGCCTAGCTAACGTTGAGATTATGTCAAGGTTTTGGTAATTAAAAGGTTCTAGGTTCAAAACCATCCACTTACGCAAAAAAAATAAAAGATAAAAAAAGCTTTTGGTAATTGATATAGTTAATTGTTAAAAAAAATTACCGATTACATGCTCTGGATAGGGTAATCTTCCCCCCTTTCTATACTTTATTCTATACCCAAAATAGAAAAAACAAAAAATAAAGAATTTATGATAAAGAAATACAAGTTTGAAATAAGTTAGTCATCATGGCCTATGAAACAATGGAAAATGAAGAGCAAGTTGGTAGGTTGGGTATATGGTGTTTTTAATGTTTTTCAACAATGCCCTTATCATAAACTAATTAAGATTATGTTGTGTCTCCAAATTTGATACCCTTCTAACATTTTTGAGGATTTTGTGTACTGTCAATATTGAGTTCTGTATTAGAAAACATTTTATGGAACTAAACTATCTTATAATCAATCAAGGAATATTGAATAATATTAATCAAATATAGATTTACTTTAACAATTAAAATAAAAACTGTTTAATATTTAATTGATGAATGACCATAAAAGCATTCTAATTCATTTTCTGTTCTGAGGTTTTCTTACATCCTGCAGGCCATCTCTAGTTCTCTACAAATAAAGCTATTTGTTCATTTACCTAAAAAAGAAAAAAGCTCATTCTAATAGACCATTTATTGTACCAAAAAAAATTGGGGAACAAAAAAGTAAATTCTACTCTATTTGCCAAGGGCGGCAGTAGCAAAAATTTTCGTTCAACTTTGAATAGTATTGACGAAGATAGAGCACAAGATTTGCTGGACTTTAAACTTTTGATGCTCTAAATCTAAACGTTGAACTCGTAAGTTGAAATTTGGAAAAAAGAACAACTTAAGTAGGAAAAGTTTAACCTAAAAGAATGGTAGAAATTTTATATACAACGTCGATGTAAGATAAGACAAAAAGATGGAAATAAAAAAGGCTAGCTCTCTCTTTGCTGCCAAATAGTGGCAATGTCTGAATAAAATAAACCAACATTTTGCTAAAAATATCCCACAAAAAAGAAATAAATATTTGTACCATAAGGTTTCTTTCAAAGAGTTATATAAAAAAAAGAGTCAATTTACTTATTAAAAACTATCTATAAAGAATCTTTCAAATTATCTAGCAAATGTTAAGGAAAGCAAATTGAGAAAAATGAGGGGCTGAACATGTTAATGGTAAATGTCCCTGAATACTTTGTTAAGTTATCTTTATGCAAACGTCTCACTAATTTCTCTAGCCATTTAGCATTTGTCTTATCTAGCACTAATTTTCATAATTTCACCTTCCTTTTACTACTAATAAATTATTTTACTATTGGATAAATAAAACGTTAAATTTTCCAAAAGTCATTTGTGTGCAATTCCGTTCCAAATCAAATTTGGAAATTCACTCTAATACAATTCTATTCCTAAAATACAATGGTATAACAGAAATAACCTCAAAAATATTTAACATCAACTTAGGCACTTCTCCTTATTTGGACTCTCGACTTTGCAAGTTCTATGAGACGTGCACGCGCCATATCGAAGGTAGTCTTCTGAAAATTTGTCAACGCGATCAACTTAGGCACTTCTCCTATGAACATTGCACTATGATGCATAACTTCCTCTTTTAAGCTTCTTTTAATCTCAAACTCTTGTAAACATCGCAAAATATGAGTAAAATCTATCCACTAACACCCTATACTATGAAAATAGAAAGGGAATATTTACAAATAACAAGTATCTTTTTTGAGCAAATAACATGCATTTTATGCTCTCTGTTACTTTTCCTTAAAATTATTGTTCTTGACTGGTTTATAGGAGTACCTGATAGGGACGAAGTTGTTGCTGCTTTGGGGATACCAGCTGAAATGAAGTCAATATATTATATCCCTTATTTCTTTTTGCCTTGGCGATGGCCAATCAAGTTGAAATTATACAATAAATTGCAATTGATGTAATTTGGAAAGTCTATCTGATCAATTCTCCGTCCTTTATTCTCGGAAAGCTTTTATAACTTATGGATGTGTTATAGGCTATGACATTGACATTTTTAAAAGTTAGAATTGAACAAATTTATAAATTTAGATCATTTTACTCTGTTTCTTCAAGAGATAGAGACTCACATAGGGGCCCTGTTGACTCTTCGCAAGTACTACTATAGCTATTGCTCTGCACCGCCGAGGGGAATCCGGAGGATAAAACAGAGGTTTTGGTGGCAACTGCAAGGCTGTGAGATCACCTTGTAGCATTTCCACAACTTCTCTCATTGACGGCCGATCATCTGGCGTCATCTGTATACACCACAATGCAATCAAAATTAATTTTCTTGCAGTTCTGTTTTCATCTTCAGTTGCATCTTCAATTTCCAGGTTCTCTCCTTGGTCAAATTTGTCATATATCCATGAAGGGAAGTACATTTGGCTTGAATGCTCAGCATGTGCATTAAGGTTTCTCCTCCTTCCTACCAACTCCATAAGTAGCATTCCGAAGCTATATACATCAGCCTTGGATGAGACTTTTCCAACCCTTTTGTAGAACAATTCTGGAGCCATGTATCCTAATGTTCCTCTCACAGCAGTTAGACTTACAGTATTATTTTGAACAGGATGTAATTTAGCTAGTCCAAAGTCAGAAACCTTTGGCGTGAAATTCTCATCAAGTAAGATGTTGTGTGGCTTTATGTCAAAATGCAAAATTTGCATGCTGCAGCCTTGATGCAAGTATTCAATCCCTCGAGCTACACCCATGGCGATCTCGGTTGCCTTCTTCCAACTTAATGGATTTCCATCTAGACGTTCGGAGAAAATGAACTTTTCTAGGGATCCATTAGGCATGTAATCGTAGACAAGTGCATGCTTTGAGGCAGTTACACAAAACCCCACTAATCGCACCACATTAACGTGGTGAATTCTTCCAAGAGCTGCAACCTCATTGATAAAGTCTTGGCCATTAGCTTTGGACTTGCTCAACATCTTGATTGCTACTAGTTTGCCACTCCGCAATTTTCCTTTGTATACACAACCATAACCACCTTCTCCTAACTTTTCTTTGAAGTTGTTGGTCATCTTCTTGATTTGTTTATAGGAGTATCTGATGGGGATCAAGTTATTGCGACTTTGGAGAAACTCTTCTATAGCATCATATATCGACAAATGCCTTCGTTGGCACTTATAGAAGAGAAATGCAACTAGTAATACAGCACCAATAATTGCTCTTGCTCCAATGGCAAGTACTGCAATAGGGTCAAATGAAAAGCTTACAATAATGAAGGCACGGAATAACTTATTTAATTCATTACAGTTTGAGAGCTTACCTGCGAACACAACCAGATATTTTATGTATGTTGCTATACATACTGCAACAAAAAGTATCATGATTAGCAAGATGATGATATAATAAAGAACATGTCATTTCACTTTAAGAGTAAATCAAGTTTAGTTGCAACATTACACGGAAGCCTAATTATAAGTAGCACGAGAGTATAAATATCGTAATAAGAAAAGGTTATATTGTAATATTCTCACTCTAATCTTTTAATGGTTAAAGAGAAGAAAAAGTTTGAATTCCAAATTTACAATAATTGTAGCTATGCTACATCAAACGTAAGATAAAGATATTATATATTATATACGTATGCCTGCATTTTGCAATTTTCTATGTCTAGAAAAGTTTGACCCTCTGTTCAGCTTTTTTGGCATGCTCTTATTTGTTTGTCCTCGGCATATCCACAAATGTACCCATTATTTTTACCAGGGTAGTTACAGATCTATCAATAGTGTATTCAAATTCCCGGGCAAACTTATAAATTTAGCTGCTATGGAAATTTCCAATTTTTAAAGGTAAATTCCTAGTACCCCCTGGTTTCATCTATTGCCACATAACTCCTAATGTTTCAAACTATTCACTTCATCTCCTATAGTTTGATGTAAAATAGAAAGTTAATAAACGATAATCTGTATAACATCATTAGTTAAAATACCAGCACTGTCTTTACTTAAATGCTAAATGAAATGACCTAGCCACCTTATATAAAATTATAAGGAAATTGTGTGGATAAATGCAAAAACTATAGAGGGGGTCAAGTGGATACAACGATTTTATCACATGCACTTTTAAAGTGTGTGTTGTATAATTATCGTAACTAATTATGCATTCCGTTCATTTTTCACTTTGCATAAAACTACAGGGGTTGTATGGCTATTTTGAAATCTTAGTAGGATCATCTGGCATTATGCAAAACTATAGGGGTTATATGTAATTTATCCAAGTTTTAATAGCTTGCTTTCATAGTCTGTGCAAAAACAGACAAATAATTTGTTACTTTCCATTGAGAACTATTTGGCATGAACTCAAGTTGGAATATAAATCAGTTTTGATAGGGTATAATTTGTTAGTAATTTTATTATTAATTTCCCCTTTTATTCCTGACAAATATTGTGTTAATTGCTGACATTTACTTATATTTGGTACCATGACTTAATTTCAGGAATGAAGCAGAAAACCATAAAAAAGGAAGGACTTTATGGAAAATAGGGAGACTTCTAAGGGCTTCAATTCTTGGGCCCTTGAATTGGTGGGGGACCACAAGCTAGTGGAAAGCATCTAGTCATTTGGGCTCTTAAAAGAAAGTTACGGGAAAGAGACTTGGAACAAGAAGTACTTGGAGGGCTTTGTCCACATGTGTGGGGACCACCTAGATAGCCTTTAGTCATCTTCCTCTTGTTGCTTAAATAGGGATAACGTAGAGTAGCAGGGACATCGAGGGCTTTAGTTTTAGTTTTTTAGTTTAGTTCTAGTTTCCTTTCTTTGGACTGGCCTCTGACACACGCCAGGTGTTCGACAATATTCCCCAACGGGGAGATTTTCTCATGAGGCGTGGTTAATCTTTTCTAGTCAAGGGGACAACTGACGATTTGGTTCGACAACTACTGTGAGATCGAATCTGTTTTAATTGTTTTCTTCATTTATTGGTATTTATATGTTCCTTGATTTTAATTGCTATGGCCTTGTGTATGATTGATTAGTGCGCAATAATTAATTATTCATATAGGCTATTTTTGCTAAATAGGGGTAATTGAATCCGTAATTGTTCGTTATCTTTATCTCAGTAGCAACTGGCGTAATTGGATTTATGTCTGGGGAACATATGATCTAGCTTAAACAAACCCTCGTAGCGTGTTTGTTGGTTAGAATTGGGCCTTTCTAATTATTAATGCAATCTAGAAATTAAATCCTACGGTCGTACCTAGGGTTATTTTTGGGTTAGAGAAATAGCTAACGGTCGTACCTTAGCTATCGAGAAATTAAGGAAGGGTTGGTTGTTTATCGTGTGCATGACAACTATAACTAATCTATTGCTAAATGTTGGAATTATTTCTGCATCAATGATCAGTGCATGAACCATTTCTGAAGTGTACCCTTGGCTAGAGTTTCCCCAATCATTTCTTTTAATTAATTATTTTCTGCAGTTAATTTATTTAGTTAGTATTTAATTCAAAACCCCCATATCTGGAACTTGAGAAGAAATTAAACTATCCCCAGTCCCTGTGGATTCGACCCTGCTCACCGCTATATACAAAATCTGTATTTTTCTCGAGTAGGTATTTATTATTGCACAGGTTCGGCACCTGTCAATTTTTGGCGCCGTTGCCGGGGACTGGTGTCAGATTAATTTGTTTCTTTTTTTTTTAGTTCGCCTTGTTTTCATTTTCAATTTATTTTTCTTTTTTTTTTATGGCTGCTAACATTCCATATTTTGATGATAGACTGGACTTTGTTCCTGAATGGGGTTATGAGACTCATGTGTTTCCTAATGATCAATGGGATAGTGCAAATTGTGGAACTTATTTTGACTCAGGTTATTCAACTGACACATGCCCCGCATTTCAAGATAATCTAAGTGCTCCAATTGATACTTTTGGAGATTTTCCACCCCAATATCAAATGCAGTATGACCCTTATTCAAACGGGTATGATCAAGGATGGTGGGATAATTCCAATTTTGATTATGTGACCGGGCCAATGGATTTTCAACAGCAAGAGTCTCAACAACCATCGTCCTTGTCAGGTATGTCTTTTCAGGAATTGGGTGAATTATTTATTAATACATACCGATTCCAACAGGAGACACAAATGAGGAATGAGATGATGAAGGATCCAATGAGTTATCTGGCAGATCAACTATGTCTATTGATATCCAAAATGAATCGATTGGCTTCTCAAATGGAAGAATTGTCCTCGGAAATCATTGTTGATTTTGAAGAAAATGAGAGTGCAATTTGCTTGACTAGTGATGAGGAGATGCAAGAGTGTCAAAATGAAAAATGTACAGATGCAGTTGAAAAAGAAGCCGAAAAGGAAGAAATGGAATCCCAACCGCAACCCATTCAAGTGAATGAATCCAATGAACAATCTCCAAATGCGGTGACATCTTCTCTACTCCTTAATCAATATTTTCCTGACTCCTATTCTTCAATTCCTGTTACTGAAATTGATTTTATTATACCAGAAAATTTGAAATTTCATGACAGGAATAAATTAAGAGTGGCAATGGAAAAATATCTTGAACCGAAGAATGCATGTGATGGAGGAGTGAATGGAGAATGCAAATTATCGTTGACTTGTTTAGCACCATTTACTAGTCCATGGAAGCCCGCAACTCGTGTGCTCAAAGATTACTCTATTTACGATGGTTACCAGGATCACATTGAAGATGAAGCATTGAAGCGAGTCACAAGATTTTATCCTCCGTGAACAAGCATAGCATGTCTAGCCAAAGACATTAAAGAAAGGCGCTTTTTGGGAGGCAACCCAATTGTTGATTTTGTTATTTTTGTGTTCAATTTCTTAAATATGTCGTTTCTCACTTGGGTACTAATCACTCTTGATGTTTCCTCACTATGACCAGAATAGGTAATCTTGGCGTGCCCACGTGGTGTTTGTATCTCCTGAGGTCAGAGGATGTTTGTCAATCTTGGCGTGCCCACGCGGTGTTTGGGTCTCTTGAGGTCAGTGGACGTTTACTAATCTTGGCGTGCCCACGCGGTGTTTGACGACCCAAAACATGAAAAAAAAATAAAAAAAAAATAAAATAAAGAAAATTTATTTTCATTTTTCAGTTCTGTGTTTCCTTCAAAAATTCAAAATTTGAAAATTTTAAAAAAAAAACAAAAACAAAAAAAAATTTTTTTTTAAAGAAAATAATAAATATAAAAAATTATTTCTTCTTCTTCACTTTCAGTTTAGTTTCTTTCAGCAATTCGTTTTTTTTGAAATTTCAATTCGAAAAAAAAAGAAAAAAAAGAGAAACAAAAATAGACCAAAAGCTGTTATTTTTCTTTTCTTTTTCTTTCTTCTTCTTTTCTTTCTTTCTTTTCTTTCTTTCCTTTCCTTTTCTTCTTCTTCTCCGCTATTCCCCTGTTTTCCACTTTTCCTTCTCTTCTTTCGTTTGTCCGCCGCCGCAAGCCCACGCCACCAGCTCTGCCCAGCCACACCTAGCCGCCGCCTCCAAGCTTCACCCACGGCCTGCTCCAGTACCAGCTCTCCACCAGCGCGCGAGCTCGAGCTACACCAGAGGCGTTCGCCGCCTCCCCTGCTCTCCCTTCGCGACGCCACCAGCAGCCGCGGAGCTGCCCGCCGTTCCCCTCACTCTCCCTTTCAAGCTCCACCCGCCACCTCCACTCACCAGCGCCTTTGACCACCGCCAGCGCTCCTTCTTCCTCTCCTGCAGCGGCGCTCGTCCAGCTCCTCTCCGCCCACGCTCCACAGCCGCGGCCACCACCTCGTCACCAGCTCAAGGCCAACAGCTCCTGCTCGCAGCTCCTCCACTGAAGTGACTCCGTGCGCTCCTCCGCTGCTCCTCTGCTCCACCACCCATGCCATTTGCTTGGTGTCTCTGGTATGAGGCGGAGGTACTTGTTTTTCCCAATTTATTGGCCAACTTTCTAAGATAAATTACTTATATTTGGAGTACTATTTCTGGAATAGATTTCTAGATTGAATTGGGCACAGACTTTGGGTTCAATGTTGAACTTTGGTTTTCGGTCCCTGCTAAATTAATTTGCTGAATTCTTGATGCCCTATGACTGTTGATTTAAGTAGCTAAGGTATTCGGGCCTCTGCTGAATTGTAGTTGGCAGAGTTGTGCATTTATTTGTTCAATCCATCAACTATAATACTTAGTGCATTGATTGTTGATTTCATGGCCATAGTTACTATCCCAATTCATTTGGTTGGTTGAGTTGTGCAATTGACTGTCCAATTGGAGACAGTTGTTGAGATGTTGGGTGGAATTCAATTTATTTGCTACCCCATTTGGGGGTGCTCTCTGGTATTGATTATATTGTTGAA